CCCCCTTCCGCAAACCCGGCGGCGGGGGGGTCCCGCGCGCCAGGAGGACGCCCCTATTCTTGTGCGCGCGTAGGCACGCGCGCAGAGAGAGCAGGAAAAACACGAAACGAGTAAGCATACGCAGATAAACACACACCGCGCCAAGGAATCAGCGCTACGCCGTGCCACCCCCAGCGCTTCTTCCAGGTGCTTCGCAAAGGATGAAACCCCCTGCTCTGAAAAACGCAGGCATCAGCGTACGCACGCGCAGATAGGCACGAACACGCATATACAGCTACACGCAGATGTGCGTGCCCACTTTTTACAGACACGCTAATACGGACTTCTACGCGTTTTAGGGTACAAATTATATATAACATACATACAGAGACACACACACAAATATACATATGCATACATATACACACACACACAGAGCACGCTTCTCCTCCTCCCCAGGAGCGCCCACTCGCCCTTGATTTTGTGCAGACCATCTGAACAGGCGCTCCAGCTGAGGATGCGCTTTCAAGGAAAGTTATTTTCAAAGCAGGTTAACTGAACTTCAGCTCTGCACACCCGAAAACCACAGGCTGGCAAACACACGTGCATATATATATATACATATATATATACGTGCACAGGCGCTGATAAAGTCCCCCCGCGCCTCTCCGCGTATGGAACGTGTACCCGCAGCGGCACGCGCCCGCCACACGCGCGGCTCCTCCGCCTCCGACAGGGCAGCGCTATGAGGGAAGCGGCTCCCTCTGCCCCCGTCCTCAAGGCGGACGACTGCCTTGCCTTTACGTGGCCACTGCTAAACCCGCCATGCCAGCAACACACCCCATTCTGCTAATAAAACACGCTGAACGTGCACGTATTTTCTTCTGGAGCGGGCCACACGTCACCGCTCTGCGAGCGTGGCTTTTAAAGAAGAGCCTTTCTGCCCGCTCCCCTGAGACTGCCTCGCTCTCCTCCCCACGGCCAAGTTGCAGGTGACAAATATTGTCACATCCCGCGGGGAAATCCTGCGGCCGGCCCAGTGTAAATAACCCAGCCTGGGCTGCCGACCACAGCTTCATCACGCTTCCTTCGCGAGCAGGGAGCGGAAGAGGAAGGCGACCACCTGTGTTTTATCAGGGGGAAAAGCGTGAAGGATTTCAGCAGCGTGTGCTGGGCACTCACGCTCCTTGACAAGTGTTTGCACTTCCCTGCTCCAGGCCGGGAGAAGGCGTTTTTGTTTCCCTGGGCAGAAGAAAGAGGCCTTCACGCTGCAGCTGCGGCGGGGCAGCCCGCGGGAGGCCGGGGCCTGTGGAAGCTCTTTGCCAGGCCAGCGGCAGTGCCAAGGGAAAGCCCTTCAAACACAGCTTGTGCCCAGCACCCAAACGGCTCTCAGCTTGCAGCGCTACGGGGCCACCATGCGAAACCCAAGGCAAATTAAACTAAACGGCAGCTGCTAGCGTCACGGCCCTAATCCTCAAGTTGACTTTTACTCCAGCTTCTGTAAGTCGCTCTGTCTCTCAGTGCTGAGTTCTTCCTTGGAGTCTCCCTTGAGTCCAAGTAAACTCACAGCACTGACAACACCCCCTTAATGCAAGAACACCGGCACAAACACGAGCGCAAGGTCGGCCGGAAACACCAAGGAGCCTGAAGGTGCCGGCATGCCCTGACCCTCTCCGTGCTCTACGCACCTGGCTAAAGGAAAGGCCTCTGAACAAGCGACCAGCTCCCAAGAGGAGTCACCTTTCTACTCCTTCATGCTCGCGTAGCCTGAGCGGGACCTGGAAATTAGAAAACTTTCTGGGACTTGGATTTTAGTAGCCTCTCTGGCCTCCACGCTCCGAGGGGACGAGTCCTTAAGGAGCACGGCTTCTATAAAGCATCCCCCTTGCTGCAGCACTAAGGCTCTGTAAAGCCGCTTGGAACAGAAGACAGGTGATGTCATGCTGGTGTTACGGACATTCGTTTAATTTAGTTTCATTTTTCAAAATCTTCTGCTTCTTTCCTCTACTATTAACAGTGAGATGATAACATTTACCTACCTAACAAGGGCCACATGACGATCAGTCGCTAACAAACGCTGGGTAAGCTGACGTACAGAGCACCACAAACAGGTTAGACAAACATGCTGCTGATGACCATTACTGCCTGCTCATACCAATTCCTCTCACACATGAAAACCCTTGCACCTTGCTGCCTCCCCTCTTATCAGTACACATTTCTTTAATTCTGGTTTCTCACACACAATGCATTGAATTCTTATTTTTTGTATCTTTTCATATCCATCTTGCACCTGCTCTTTGATCCATCGGTTCATTACCGCCATGCTACCTCATTTTTTCCTTGCCGTCTTCAGCTTGCTTTCTTTTTTTCCCTCCTTCCTCCACCCCACTACCTCCACCCAGGGTGGCACCCGTGCCTTTTCCTTGCTGTTCCACTGGTCCCCCCAGAGCCCACGGCAGCGAGCAGAATAACTCCCCTGGGGTTCAACAAGCACCTGATCAAACCATTTGCTGTCAAACATGCGTCTTCCAGTTACTTTCCCTTCTTTCTTATCTGACTCTTGCTGTAGATAACGTGGGATGTATTTTCCTCTCAACCTGACACAAAATTATACCCTTGTCCTTTGCCAGATATGAGTTCACGTTACAAACCTTTTTTAGGTGCCTTAAACAATTACAATTTTTTTTTTTTTAAATTGAACCTGCATTTAACTCAGCCTCCAAAGACCTGATGTTGCCTTTGTCAAAATGTTGCTGTTCAAGAAAGGGATAAACACTGAGTTTTGCCTGTCTGAAAATACACCCTGTACCCACCTCTTTTTATAACACAGCCAGTTAGCCCCGGATACCTTCAGAAGGTCATTTACTACAGCCGTATCAGATTATGCAGGAGTCGCCACCTCCAGTTCGCTCGCTGTTTGGGCGAAGGGCTGCAGAAGATGCCTCCTGCACCCAAGACTGCCCACAGCGCTCGGGAGACCAGGCCACCGAACAGCACACGCTCCCTGGACCCGGCTCTGATCCAAAACCCAGGGGAAAACATCAGCGAGCACCTACAGTGCAGCACTGCTTACGTGGGGAGATAAACCTTCGAACAGAAACATGGCTTAGACAGGAGAAGCTCCAGGAAAAAGAATTGCTGCTTAGAGATGAACTGTGTTCACCAGCCTGGTTTTGTACTCCTAACTCAGGATGACATCAGGTAGAGGCCATTTTCCAGGTCTCTTTACATATAAGACCACCATGGCTTCCTGCCCCTCTGGGTAGCAGTCAAAATCTTGCTCTCTTCCAGTGGTGGGGGAAAAAAAGGTTACGATGAGAGGGCAGGCACGATCTCCTCATGCTGAAGTTCGACACCCTCAGCACGGCGGGAGCTGTGTTCTTTGGGGTCTGAAGTAATATGAACATTTCCCAGAAAAAAAACATCTTTTCCCAGGACTGGAATTTTAAATTAGAGACTCTGTGGTGCCTGGTCCCCTGTCCACTGCAGTAAAATAATTAACTCTAGTAGTCCTGAGTTAAAAGACCAAGGACTTTCCCCCAAAACCTTTCTAGAATGGTTTCTAACACAAAAAACTGGGGGTCAATTTGTAATCTGAAAGCCAATGGGCTAGATTAACAACTCCACTACTGAGGAAGCTTTTGTCAGAACAATAAGGATAGGGCAACCCAACTGATAAATTATAACTTGATAAATAAACAACTGAAAGCAATAATATTTATGATTATGATTGTTATAACAGCTCACAGAGATGTGAAATGGACAAGCCCAAAAGCAAATCTCCTTCTCTTACTCAGACCTCACTTTTCCCCCCCCTGCAGCATGACATTCCCAACAATTCCTGGCATCCTCTTCGTTCCATTCCTCCTCCCCAGAGCTGTCACTCACTTGGCAAAGTCCTTCTCTTCTCACCCTTCCTGGCTTCTCTGTGCATCACTTGTCACCTTTATCACCTGCCTTTCTGACACAGTAATTTAGTGTATAGTAGGGCTTTGCTACCTGGTCCAAAGCTACTGACATCACAGGAGTCTTGGCCCTTGAAGTCTCTTTTCCTTTCATCTTTCTATAACAGCACACAACATGAGGGTACTTGTGAATTTTTCCAGCTGACCTCTAGTGGCCAAAAACGGCAAGTAACTAACACAGCCTTCTAAAATTAATGAGCTGGTCAACACATTTTTGTGGCTGTGCTTTGTCATAATCAGAAATAAACCTGCTGATTGTTGAAGTCAAGTCGAATGATTTTTGGTCCTGAATCCAAATCCACTTAAGTGAATTGCAAATATTTTCATGGATTTCATTGAGTTTATGGCTATCTTAAGTGGTTTTCATTTGCTGCCCTGCCAAGTAAAAATTTTCAAGGTCTTTGGTACGGTTGCCAAAATATGGCGAATATTTATCAGATTTATGAATTTGTTGCTGGTTGGAAGAAAACTATGTTACTGGCTGCGCCAGGCACACGTGGATATTGGCACAGGCTCTTGCTCACCTTCACACTGCCGCTGTTTCCATCTGCACTCCAGCCTGCCTTTCTGCTGCTCTCCCTTTCATCGCCTTCGTTATTCTTGACCCCGAGGTTTTTCTTCTCTGTATCCCAGCACAGTCTCCTGCATTCTTGCTCTCAGTCTCCATCGTGCTCTTTGGCATCTTCTTCCTTACCTTTGCTATCAGAGCTGCCCTGACAGTCAGTGCTATCTCTTCTATCACTGGCAATGGGATTTATTGCATGTGTGTTATCACCGCTCAGTGCCCACTGACTGGCTGCTCTGGGAACATCCTGAAAAAGAGGAAAGAGGAAAGAAGTGCTTTAGAAGAGAGAGAGTAGCTGCTCTAATCTGCCATATGCAGCACTGTCAGTGGAAAACAGACTGCTCTCCTACCGGACATTGGCCTTGGCTGAGTGGGTCCGGGAAGATACACCTCCCCTGCTCTCATCAGTGTCCCACAGGCCTGGGGGCACGTCTTTTTGACTTGAAGATGACATTTTTACTCCTAAGTATTATTCAGCACCCTAGTGAAAAATGTTAGAAGCTGTAAAATGCAGGCATGATTTGCTCAGCTGCTTTACTTTAAGTATAAAGAGTGACATACTTGGGCGCATCTTTGATGTGAAGCAAGGGAATCATCCTATCAACAATTTAAGCACATGAAGATCTTCGTTTAAGTACAGGCATAACTGCTTTCCTCTGTCTGCAGGGGTATATGAAGTTACTTAACATATGTGAAAGGATTATTTGAAGACACAGAATAAATAAATGCTACTTAGTACAAATTTAGAAAAGTGAAGAAAAGTTTTTTGTTTTTTGTTTTTTTTTTTAAACTACCCAGAATTTTTTTTTTTTTAATGAATCATTCAAAACTTCCATGAAATAGTCAAGAAGTCCATCAATTGCTGTTTTTTCCTTCTGCAGAAAGTTTCCTGGTAAGGTTTTCCATTACCTTTCTCCGCACCGTATTTTCAGGCTTAGACACTCAAACTGCACCCTTAGCCCCACCCAGGCCTGTTTGTCGCTCACAGACGTGCTGTGCTCTTGCAAGTAAGTGCAGACATGCCTTACCTGCCTATTGCAATGAGGTGCCAATTCCCACCTAAATCCTCAAAACGCCTGACTAGAATTTAAATGCAATTTGTGTATTTACTTAAGTTCCTTTGGAAAGCACTACCTACAATTAGAAAAATATGAATCGAAACCTGTTTCAATTTAACATCAGGTGCAATTCACAGACTAGCTTTGAAAACTATGTCCAAAAGAGTAATGCTGCAAGCAGTGATTTAACTAAGCTTTTTTTTCTTCCTGATTCACTTCACTAATTCCCCGTTACTCATGATTTCCATAAACAGCATCAGGAGCAGGTTAGCCACCCAACGAATCCTCCTATGCTCGAAGTAATAGGTCACTCGGACATGGTTAAGACTCACAGCTTTGAGAAGTAACACATAGCTCCACCGCGCACGTGTATGAAAATCATCGCCTGTCCTTGCTTCCTATTCCCATTAGTCGTTCTGTCCTCTGAGATGGCAGGCAGGAGAAGCAACAGGGTAAGGGAGACAGTGACAAAACTGGTCAAGCTAAAGATGGCATTCTCAGACTACAAGGGAGGAGGTAGCTGAATCAGAAGACAGACGACTGGCAGGGCTGGGCCAAAGATGTACAAATACACAGCTTTTTGTTTGGACTAAGGTAGACGATATGGTGTTCACGAGGACCAAGAAAGAATACAAATGCAGACAGCAGGAGGGATTAGAGAAGCCAAAACGAAGACAGAAGCTGGCGCGGCAGCGGAGAAGCTGATGCGTGGAGGTATATAAAAGCAGTTCTCCTCCAATTTAGACCTCTCAGGCTCAAAAGCTGTTATTTTTCCAAAAGTAGTATGGTTCTATCTTTCTTCAGTGCACAGTACCAAAATCCAAGATAGTTTCATAGTCCTTACCCTGTTAGTGCACTTTTCTTCTGATTACAACTGCCAGCTTTGACAGCAGCGCCAAAACCAAAAAGACAGAGAACTAGAGAAAGAAAAATCAGAATCAGGTCAGAACTCAAGGCATGAGTTCTCCTCCTTCTTCCAAGCACTAACCAGCTCACGGCTTATGTGCAGATCTAAATCCATTTGCCAAGTACTTACTAGTGACAGGTGCTAAAATGCAATGTCGCGTTTTAAATTTGGAATAGAAAGGAAAACTATAGTCGTTAAAACATTAGTTTTCCCAGAACGCACAACATTAGACCCACAAATTACCCAGCACCAAATCTGTACTCCATTGCTCTGCTTCTTTAAAACGGGGATTGAATGCCGCAAATTAGCTATGTCTTTCTGTCTCTAGATGGTTCGCATGGGCCCAGTCCGATTCCCGTTAAATCAACAACAAAACTCCTCTGAGTGAGCAGCGCTGCCCTGCAAGGGTAGCTGTCGCACCTCCCACTGCACAGGGCTCCAGCACGCAGGTTCTTCCAAGGCATAATGTTTCTAAATAAATGAAGGACTGGAAGCTGGTGAGACACACAACTGGTGATAATTGCAGGTGGATAAACCGCAACTAGCGGTTGTGGACACAAAAGGGGAGAAGCAGTTTCTTTTTTTTTTTTGGCCCCCTGTGCACCTAGACAGAATCCAAGCAAGCGCATTTTGCTTGTTCTTTAAAGTATGAGTAAATATTACCGGCATTTAGCAGTGTTAATATGACAGAAAAAGGCAGTGGCTAATGATAACATTTTAGACATTTAAAGGATGGCATTTACATTTCACTCTTCTCACTAGGAAACCATCAAGTCGCAAATGCTGTGGTACAGCAGATGGAAGTAACCATTCTTGTTTTGCAGTGGGGAATCACGCGCAAGTTCGACTTATACTTGTTCTTTAAAACTTGCCTAGTTCTCCTCACTGAAAAAACAAGAAAAAAAACCCCAAATCATAGGAACATCAGGCCTATAGTCCTGAAATACAGATCTATAGGGCCCCCTAAAGGTATGGCCATACATTTTAACAAAAAGGATAGCCCTTTTCCTTTGCCTCCTTACAGCAGATAGGATCATTAACCTATTTTTAGATGTCTATGATTAGGCTTCCTTTACAGTCAGAGAAAACAAGCAGCTTTTACGGCACAAATCATCTGACCCATTTTAGATGCCTATTTTAGGATGAAATAAATTGCACCTGTAAAGCATCTGTTTCTCTCTTCTGAAGCGTCACCAGCTCCAACGTAGACTGTACATTGTATAGTGCAGACCTTTGACGCTTGGGCAGAGAAATCCCTTCCTTGGTGCCTGGCTAGCAGTTCCAGTAAACAACCTCATAATCAGTGTCCGTCAGATTTTCTACCAGCTCCACTTAAAAACCTCAAGTTTTTAATTGCAAGCTTTAGGCGTTCAGCACCTCAGGGCAGGGGGGAACCACACACACACACACACAAAGAAACCCTAAAGCTAGCCACGTCTGGGCACCCCAGAATGAACGTACTCCAAATAAAGAACATTTTTAGCAATGCAACCTAATAACTCCCAGGGTCAGACAGGAAGTCAATTGTCTGTCTCCCTCTGTCTCTCTCAGATCCCCAACTCTCACATGCTTGGGCATTTTAGAACTGAGGTCCCACAATTACTGTGCTTCACCTTAGCTTCGTTATTTGCTGTATTTGGCAGAAGCAGAAGCATTTTCCTGAACATATGGGCCCTTGCCCTTGAAATTTCACATTCCCTTCAGCTGAATTAATAACAGAGCTCAATTATTTTAATGCAACTAATGCTGGAATTATTTGCAGTTGTCAGGTTTGCAGTGCAGCAACGAGATACATTCCCTAGGAGACAGCAGCAGCACCTCAACACGCTGCTGAAGAATCTGATCTCGTTCCGTTGAAGCATTCATTATGCCTATAGTGGTCATGCCAAAGATGTGCCGGGCCTTGCACAAACAAACAAAAAAAAGTGGTTGCCCCAACACTGTAATATTCATTATAGTTATGCCTAATGAGGACTAGATGGATGGCAGATATTGTCAGAGGTGACAAACGTGGTGACAGGCTTACCTTGTCCTGCCAACAGGATTGTGCCCCGTTCTTTCAAAACTACACCTGTTTTGTCACTCCGAACTTTTCTGGGGACTTCAAGCACTCAGACTTGCCAATAACGATTCTTACCCGCAGGTTGGGCTGAGCGATCTATCAGGTCAGAAAGGAGCAACCAACTCTTGAAATTAAAAATTACTATAAGAGTAACAATTCAATTCAATTTTTGAAGAGTACAGGGATTTTGATTCTTGTGATGCTTAAACAGCCTGAGAAATACGAGAATCCACCTCTAAATAACAGAGAGCTTGAGATCCAAGACAAAATGTGCATTTTCGTCCAGAAAATCCCTTTCAGAAAGGGAGGAAAAGGTTGAAGAATTTTTGGTTTCTGTGGAGTAGGAAACAAAGAGAATGCAAGAGAATTAGGAGGAGGATAAAAAGGAGTAGAGCCTGCCTCAGGTTCTCCATCGATGCTGTCATTTCCTGCTTCAGTTTGATGTATCTGAGGGGAGAGGAAAAAACAAGTAGTGGGTGTTTCAGGTTATTTAAAGAAAAGGAGGGATCAGTGGAATTGAGAGAAAAGGCAGTTCATTTTGCTGCAAAGCAAAATTTACTTACAGAAATAATTTCTTCTTACAACAGAAAGGCGACTTTGGCCAGAAGTGAACCCTTTAGAACAGTAAATAGCAAGTGAAAAAGTCTCCACTGCTTTCAGAGAAAACAAATCACAAGAGTAATTAACTCACATCATTCATATAATTCATCAGTGAGTTAAATTCACATTAGTGAGTTAAACTCCTCATTCACTTAACTCACCAGTGTGAATGACCACTAAAACCTCCAGCCCTTACAAAAGGAAGATTTGTGAGAAAGGTTCCTGGAATTGCACAAGCTATCATCACAACGCAAAGAAGTGTAACAGTAGCCTTCATCTCCTCCCTCTCTGGAGCAATATAAATGACTATGAAGAAACAGATTATATAACAACTATAAATCTAAACAGGCATGTGCACTTTCAATATTAGTTAGCTAGCACACTCTGCCAGAGACTCCAACACCAACGTTTTTTGATCCAAAGCCCCATGGTCCAGATACTATATCGATAAACAGTCAGAACACAAGTAAACCAGGGTCACAATGAGAACGTGCAATAATAAAAAATATCTATAGACCAATTCACTGATTTGACTGGAAAAGCTAGATTAAATATACTGCCTATAAGGACTAATGCTTTTATAAATGAAAAGATTTAACAGTCCTTACCTTTGACTACAGCAACAATGAATAAATAAATAAATAAATCACAAAACGTGTCATATAGTGACCTTATGCTTATCACTGAGATGACATGATATATGCATTACTGGCCATTTGTAACAGAACAGTCTTTCCGATTTTCGTTTTCAGGATTCTGGTTTTTTCCTAATTTTACATGGCAAATTGATCTTACCTAAAGCATCCACTGATCAAATAAGATTTGGCTGAGGGCCAGTTCTGCCTCCTTTAAGCTTCTCAGACAGCATCTTGCTCCTAAAGTATTCCATTCATTCCAGTGGACCCACCTGAGGAGTCAAGTGCCACCCAGTTCAAGTACAAATACTACGGTGCAGTCCAATAGCCCAGAAAAAGTTCTGGTATGAGGTCTTTCATGAGTTCAAGCCAAAATTCATTTTGGTTTCTATGGCAAGTCTCCTCCAATGTTTGCAACCAAACACTCATGAACTGCATAAGGGACCAAAGAAAAAGAAAGCAAAAAAATAACATAATAAAATATCAAATTTATTTTTTGCCACTCAGACTTAGTCAGTTAAGGAGAAATTATGGACAGACCTAAGTCTCAAGGTGAGACAAATTGCTGAGTCTGGCATTGGACCCTAGATTTCTAAATGTATTGCTATTCTAACATTCTTCGATGTTATTCGTAAAGCAGGACAAGGGGAATATATTTTAAGCATAAACTATAGTCTGTCAGTTTCCCTTATGTTGGACTGCTGTTACTTTTTGCGGTCATTCAGTTCCAGACCTTGGAGTCTCTGAGAACGAACCTGAGGACTACACGATATGCATGACCTCCAGCAACAGATAGTTATTCTGCTTACCGTGGCATACACAGCTAATGCAGGTGAGCAATCACTCACAGGAGTTATCCGAGTAAAGCGAGTGAGACGGTCTCGACGTGCTAGTGCTTACCAGAAGGAAAAGGTATTTGTGACCTAATTCTGTATTAGCTGAGCAACTCTCACTGAGCTGAACTGCAAAATGATAAAAACATGACATTTCTGCAAAATGATGTTCCTTCCTGCTTACAGACCCTGTTCCCTCACACTCCAATTTGTGTAACACGCCTGGTTAGCAAATGCCCATCTCTTAACCTGGCTGCACAGAGAAAGGACAGTTGGAGCCAGCAGTTCTCCAGAAAAACTTCCTTCCTGCTTGGAAAAAGGTGGGCAACAACTATGTCTTACTTTAGCATGATGCACTTGGTACCTGAGGAAATTCAAACTCTGTTCACAAATTTACGCACCAATCACAACTCACACACCCTATATGCTGCAGGAAGGGGTAGCTGGGAGGCTGAAGCACATATTAACCTCCCACGTTCCCTTCACAGGTTGTCCCAAACTCTTCGATTCCAAGAGGCTAGAGGGCCTTCACTTAACTAAATACTTCACATAAGGCTAGATTCTCATGCTAAATATATAGAAACAGCACACAAAAGTACCAAGCAGTGCCTTCAAACCTTACATTTCGTTCCTAGTTTGGTCTTTTTCATGTCTAGGCTTCTATAGTAACTACTGGGCGCGTGTGGACCCCCTGCCAAGCCAGAGAAAGATATTAAGGGATACACTGGTGTAACTGAAGAAATCATTCCAGTAACTGCCTCTGATGCGGTCCCAGTACCACAAGATCATGTCTCCGAGACTACAAAAAGGGCACTTAATGTTTTTACCCTCGAGCAAGAGTTACCAGGTCATGAAATGGTTTCTCTGCCTGAAAACGGACTCCACTTCAAAACAGGTCTCCAGTGGGCTGCAATAGCACACAAGCTTCTTCATAGCACTTAACATCCAAAAAACCCTATCCCACAGCAGCCCACGGAAAATCCAAGGCAGGGCCGTCCAGCAGCTGCAAAGGTGCACAGTAATGAAAGAGAGCAAGAAGCTTCTGTCTTCAATGTAGGTATCGAGCAGCTGGACACTGCCACAATCTTGTCTCCCCACATGAACTCCACTCCCGCACTGAGGGCTGCTACACTCTGCATCTTTCTGCAAGCAGTTCTTCCGCTGGCCTTTGGCACAAGACTGAACCTTGTGTGGGAAGTGCATACTATTGCTCTTCAGGCAAAAGGAATAGAAAGGAGGTGAGTCTCCTCTCCTTTCACACCCTGAACCAGACAGGCATGTTGAGAGGATGCTGAGACAAGAACTGAGAAACATGTTTCACCGTTTGAAGGACAACACAGTGTGAGGCAACACACTTGCTACTTGCTCAAGACCTCTGCGTTGCGAACATTACTGGTGTTGTCAATGTTACTGCAAATCCCTCACGTTTCACCAACAGCAGTGCGCACAAGAGCGCTTTAACTGACTGAAGAAACGAATACATGAGAAGCCACATTTATGAGCAACATAGAAACCACCACTCACAGCTCTTACGTTTCTAGGCAGGCAAGGCCACTTCATGAGCCTTAAAAGAAGAAATTGTGAGTTTTCCAGAGCTGTGTAATTCATTTTCATGAAGCTCTAAACTATTGAATTCAGAATACAGCAGCTTAATTAAAGAAAGCAATGTGGCTACATCTCAGCTATAATAAAAGGCATGTTTGTTGACCTGGCTAGGAATAAAGCAAGTCTTAACGTGCCAGAGACGCACAGGCCACTGAAGGGCTCTTTTCCCAGTGCTATTATAAAATTTTAACACTGTAATTTTTCCCTTGGTGCTTAGAAGTTAAAAAGGAAAACCAACTAAACCACCGATGCGTTTCTTTGCAAAGAAGATGAAAGGCCCACCGTCACATAATCTATGGCTATTGCAAGTGATGCACTATTAGACTGAACCTCAGAAGGTCACTTCCATTGCTGAGACACATGACCTAGAAGAGACTCCCTGGAACAAGGTCAGTCCTGGCCAGCAGCCCGTCGCCAGCAGCATGACGTTCCTCTGCTACTAGCAACCCTGAAAGAGGCGTGCGGGCTGTTCCCATCCCAGACACCTGGAAAGGCTGACAGTGCAGAGGCCTTTGTTTCACGCTTCTGTTGCGAGTACAACGTTCCAGGGTTGTGGAACGGCATCCAGAGATAAGCAGTGATGTGCTGACTGCATATGTCCTCCCTGGATGCCAGAGCCCCAAACATTACAGTAGTCACAGCCCTGTAAATCTGGCAGCCTGACTACCGGCAGCACGCGTTGCCAGTGTGCCAGGAAGTGCACTGCTGCTCGTATTTCAGAACGGATGGAAGAGGTACTTGGTGGACAGATGCCAGCCCCCTTTCTTTTAATGGAGTGAGGAGTACTATTTGGGAATGATTCAGTATGTCCCTATTGCTAACTGTTGATTCTTCCAACCAGCATGTAAGACAGCACACTCGGTAAACACATGTAAAAGCCTCTTCCTAAATGGCTACAGCACCTGGAAAGTAGAAATAGAGGTTGTTCAGCCTGTTACACTTACATTTTCAGGGATAGGTCAAGGATGGTTCCTCCGCAATTCTCAGCTTTCCTCATCAGCATTTTGATGCATAAGCTTCAGTCTCTTCGTGCAGGGAAGCTACAAAAACAGCAGAACACATTCATGGTCTGCCTGCATTCAGGCCTGCGTGGCGCTCTAGGTCAAGAACGAGCAACACTTCCCTAACATTACTGCTGTACTCCCCACTCACCCTCAAGGCCCAGTATCTTCTGGTCACCTTCTCAGAACTTCCTAGCCCTGCACTCCAGGTCTCTCCTGGGATCTGATTAATAGGACAGCAGCAATACACTCATTACTCCAATTAAATTGACACTGAAATAGAGAAAAGCTACTGGCAGAAATTCCTAACTGTACAACACATCCCACTGCTACATTAAGACAATCGATAATTAGATATAGATTACTGAACCTGTTTAATGCTCCGTTGCAGTCTGTGCTTCTACTCAGTGCAAGAGCAAAACACACAGAGCAATTATCGGTATTCAAATTGCCTCCATCGCAGCTGAAAATCACAGCTAGACAGATAATTAATGCCTTTTCTGTCAAACGTTTATTACTAGATAGAGCCTGACTAAAACGCAAGGAGCCAGATTCGTAGGTCCCATAAATCCATATTAATCTACTAACTTCAGCTGACTTCACTAATTTGAAGTTATGCCATCACCAGCTACGGACTGGGTGCCTAGTTTTAGATCTAACGCTTCTCATTTCATGCAGATACTACTAAAGACTGCATACCAGGGAGTCCTGGTCAGGCGAGGCAGTGAACAGCTCAGTAACAATAACAGCAGCAATAGCAACAGCGATGACCGTAACTCCTGGTGTTTCGTTTCTTACAACTTTTAAATTTTCATCTCAAATACGGTGTTTTCTATAATTATTCTCAGCTCAGAAGTCAATCTCTTTGGAAGTGAGAGAAATCTCTGAGCACAAGTTCAGGGGGAAAAGATGTCTTAACGTGAAAAGGCCTTGCCAGTTTTCTCTGGGCATCCCAGGAGAATGCACGGCTTGCCACTGAAAGCTGCCACTGGCCTCATAGCTCCACAACGAGCCCTTACCCTGTTTCTCAGATTCTATTTCAGTGAGTCACAAAGCCATGTCCTGTGATGTGTGATGCGTACTTTCTGTAAAAATCCAAAGCATACACCTCCGCCAGTCACTGCCGCTCATAAGGAGAGGAGCCCTGAGCGGCTTTGCGCACAGAGCCCAAGCACCACCCAGCTCCCAGCCTGAGGCCCTGGAATGACAGCAGAGTCTTTGTGGTTGCCCAGAGTTAGTCAGCTAATTGCCTGAGTTCAGGTGAACTACCCGAATTGCCGAAATCAGAGGGGATCCCGGGGGCCAGGGGATATCCATCTCTTCTCCGCAAACGCACAAGGTGAGCACTGCCTTCTCCCAGGGTAGAGGGTTCCCGAGGAGCACGGATGAACCCACTTGGGCCGGATTGCCCTCTCCACCTGCAAGGCTCCTGCATTGCAAAGAAACACAAGCAAATACTCCCAAACCAATCTCTGACGCCTGGCTCACAGGCTCGCTTCCCCCCAGCACTTCCCACTGAATTCACCCACTCTCAAAGTGGAATTTCAGAGATGTGTGTCACATACAGGCAAAGCAGTGCAACTCTTAGGAAATAAGATAAAGCACTGAGCTGGGCCCAGCTTTGTCCTGACATCAGCTTACAGTTTTGGGTAATATGCTCTGAGTTTTAGGTCTGAAACAAGGCCAGCCGCATTTGTATGCCTATCAGATTTCTATAAACACTGCATACTACTCTGGTTTGTTGCAGGGGGAAAGATATACAGAAGAAAATGATTGATCTAAATGAGCGTATGAAACAGTATCTCCATGAGTGAAAATAAGCAGGGCTGAGGCACATGACCGACCGGAACAGCCAGTGAAGTCAGGAACGCGGTGGGCTACTTGAGGGAAGAAGAAATCTATAGGGACAGCCAGACCTTTCTCCTGGAGAGCAGCCAGTACTCTTCTGGTTTGTATACTGTAATTATGCCTCCCTTTTGGCTAAATTTACCACTGCTCAGTGTAGCTGGACAGGAAGTATTACCACAGTCCTCCTGAAACCCTGGAAAAGCTGTATACATACAGTCAATATAGCCCTGACTAATCGATGGGCAGCAATTTGACTCGTCCTTCCAAAAGACGGAAGCCGTTTTCCAAAGCTAGCAATACTTTCCTCATTATGAGCTTGACCTGGTGAAGAAGCTAAGCAAGTGCTTGAGTCACAGCTCCTGAAGAGGTCTAGTGTTTTGCTTATGCATACGCCTGCATAAAGTAATTCCCCGGAGCAAGGCAAAGCCATCATTCAACAACATCAGCGTTCTAACCCTCGACAGGAACGCCTCGGGGTAACGTAGTGCAGTTTGAAAAATAAAAATAAATCTATGTTTCACACCAATTGCTTTAAACCTCTTGGGTTGCATATTTTGGATGCAGAGCTCATTAATTCTCTACGTATCCTTCCCCAGGCTTCAACGAGTCCTGCACCTCACCTCAAACATTCTCAGTGAACGCACTTTGAAAATCCTACCTATTTATGAATAATCAGAAAATGCACGATTATAATTCAATATGAGAAAGACTGAGACTTTCCCAACTGACATTGCAAGTAAGAAGTCTGTCCCACAGTCAAAATATCACATGACTGTTCGTCATGACAAGATCTGCACGCTTCTCTCACAAATAGCTCATACTGGACCCTGCTGGAAAAAAGGAACCAAAAAAAAAAAATCATAGGCCTGGTTTGGGATAAATTCTGTTCCAAAATTTCTCCAATTTGCAATGAGCTAAATCCTTGAAATATTTGAGTTGAGATGTTCTCCCCTCATTCTGACAACAAATTTTTGCTCAGTCTTATTTTTGGTTTAATCTTCAAAATGTTAATGAATTGTGGTGGGGGGAGACGCACAGAGAATTCTCAGCAAATGCAAGCATACAAAATAATAGCAAGAAACACAATATTAAATCCTTGGGGCAGCAGAAACACTTTCAAACAGTCAAGAAGGCCTATTTCTTTACATCCGCATTTCCTCCGGCAGTTACAGAGGAATTAAAATCTCATTACTAAAGACCAAAACCAAACACACTTATAAGGACCACACCATACATTTTGTGAAAGTCTTCATCCAAACCGAAGTCATTCATCACGCTGCCTGGGACGTGCACAGCTTAACTGGTCTTTCCATGGCAGAGAAGGGAGATCAAACACTGTGGGAAAACATAGTCAATACAAAAGAGGTAGGAAGAGGGTCTGAAGTTTGCTGACAGGATTACCTTTCTGGAACGCATGCTCCAAATAAGTCAAAGAGGAAGGCCAGTCTAAAGAAGAAAGCAGAGATGACCACTACCTGTCTTCAAAAACAGTACTCTTGTGGAAGGTGTTTGTACATGACTGTCTTTAAATATGTAAACTGGAGCACATTAGAGACGAGAGAATTTTCTCATGCGGATCTTTTGGAAGCTTAGACATAACACAATGCAACCACAGGGAAAACAAAGGCTTTTGTGACCTTAGTCATGCTCTACTGGGCTTAATATTTAGAAACTTACTCGCGCGCAACATGGGGCATGTTCTCCAAAATGCACTGTGCAAAGTGTTTCGTACAGAAAGAGCCGAACGCGCTCATTCTTCGCAAGCCTGCTCAGTTTAAATACGCTGCTTGCCTAGTGCAAGTCACAGCAGGCTAAGCGTAGGATCATGCCCAACTCCCTCAAGACACCATGCTGCCATTCCCATTACCTAGGAAAGACTTCCCATCTGAAACGAGACAACGATTAAGTCACATATATGATTAGCGTGTTAACAAAGAACTTGGAAAGTAACTTTTTTGATTTACTCCGGGAATTCGAGGTGAATGTGCTTCTCTCTAGAGCCAATATGATTCCAGAAAAAATTTAAATTACCTTCAGGTCAGGCCACATGTCAGTCAGATATAGCTGTAGAGAGGCAAAAAATGAAAAGTTGCCTGCTTCCTCTGAGTACGAAGTAGGGAGAAGAAGGGTTCTTGGTCACCCACAAATATCCTTGGCAAGTATGATATCCACAGCTTAACAAAAGCAAAGGAGCCTAATAATTTCCTCTGCTCCTTTATCCTCAAAAGACAGACAGGTGAAGTGCTTCTGATAGTAGATTTACTGGCAATTCAGCCTCACTTCCAATAGCAAAACAATTAGCAAATCCATTCTGATTTTCTTCGAACACGTTTTTATCGAAAGGTACTTCATAGCTGTTTTTGGCAAATGCTCTTCAGTTAGCTGATGATCTAACACTTCGTTAAATATTACTATTACATGAATGCTTTACCCGCGTATTTTATAACGATATGTCACATTATATGAGGGTCTATATAATAAAAACTCTATAGAAGTTATTCTGCATTACACAGAGATATACATCCTAACTCTGCATTGCTGCCAGTAAGAAACAAGTATTTAATCAAAAATTTTTTTTTCCTCATTTTTTCTTAGTTCCTAAGAAGTTGCATAAATACTGGGGCAGGGGGCAGCATTCTGAATGTTAGAACAACAAAGGAAAACCTGACATTACTAGCTAGAAATCTTCTTCGTGGAAAAAAAAAATAGTATTTGGTGTTGTAAGTAATATCAAGAGTGCTACAAGAAAACATGAAGAATTTACGTGCAGCTTTAAATGAAGGCACGCACAGAATACTGCCAAACTACTACTTGAAAATTACTGAGGCACTGAACACCAAGCACCCAGGATCCTTAAACAGTACATTGCAACTCCGCTCAACATGTGCATGGATTTCAACAGGAATTGCATCTTAACGTTTCTTAATTAATATCAAGACCTAGGTTCAGAAGATTTTCTATTTATTCATCCTAGAAATCAATTTACCTAACTGTGATTCAGATATCAGTTATGGTCTGGGTCAACCATTCACTTTGAAGAACATCAACTTTAATGCTCTTCCTCATTTGAGGCATTTGTGAATAAAGCATTTTTTGCTATTCCTGCTCTGTAATTTTGTATCACTCATTTTACATGAGTGCATTTTAAATTCTGCTAACAGGTATATTCACATTCTGTTAAACTTCCACTT